CCGGATTACGTTCAGTGACAACGATGGAGGACATGCAGTGCCAGCGTTTTTAAAAACGATATTCCTGTGTGTAGAACTATTGTGATAAAGTATGAATGAAGGGATCATTGAAACACATGTGTTGAGGGAGCGAGGAGCATCGACACGCGACGGGACCCAGTGGTAAATCGCCAAGTTAAACGTCACCTATTAGGAAAAATCCACTTCTTAATGTCTTTTATACATAAACATGTGTCCCCTCTGTGTAAAGAGATTCTGAAAGTTATCACCTGAATCTCCTCCAAGAGCACCATTGTGTTCTTTTTAACCAAATATCTCTCAGAAGGGCGTGGGGAGTGGCTCCTTATTTTCATCTAAAGTGACAGACAGAGAATCAGCACTTTTGAAACAGGGCTGAAACAGAGGGGATTATGGGATGCTACAATACATGATATGTTTGGTATTTGGAGCCAAACACTTCAGAGACATGTTTTGTATATATCTGAGATCCATAATATATTGATGAAAAACAGTATAATAGGGGACCTTTAAGTAGAAAGTGAAATGACTTATTATGCAGAATAGCTCTTTACAGAATAAATCATATTACATCTGCTGATAGTCTTTAATGATTAATGTTGCAGCTGGAAACTGTGCTTTATGTATTGCCAGCTGACATAATCCATTATCATTTACTAGTTTCTTTTATATATTTTGTTTTAATTTTCTGAATCTGCAAAGTTACTAGCAACTAAAGCTGTCGAAAAATGTCGAGGAGTAAAAAAATACTTGATTTAAAAATGTAGTGAAGTATAAAGTAACTTGACATTGAAATACACTGCTCATACTGTATAACCTAGTTTGAAGGTTGTCACGATCTGTCTGTGTTGTGTTTTGTCTTGTCTTTTTCTGTCTCTGGTTTCCTGTTTTGTTTTGAAATGTTTTCCTCCTTGTGTCTTGTCTGATCCTACTCCGTGTGTGTTCCTTCCCGTCGTTAGTTTCCCTGGTGTGTCTGATTGTGCCTCATTGTGTTCACCTGTTGCCCTTGTGTTTCTGCCTACCCTGTCCAGCTGTGTCTTGTCCTGTGATTACCCTTTTGTGTATTTAGTCTTGTCTTCCCCTGTGCTCCATGTCTGTTCGTCGTCATTTCATGTCCCTGCTACCAGTATCTATGCTTGTCCATGTCTCCTGCCTGTTCCCGTCTGTAAGTTTGTTCCTGTCTGTCGTGTTCCCCGGTTTTGTTTCTGTTTATTTACAGCAAGCCCTGGCTTAGGAGCTTGTTGCCTGAGAAGCTAAGACTTTTTACTAGCAGCCCTGAGTGCCAGCCTCAAGCCTCAAACCCCTTCTCGGGATCCCGCCTTGCCTTAGGAGGTCCACGGAGCCTCCAAACGGTCTCTAGGAGACGCAAGGCCAGGATTCCAGCCGTGGCCCCAGCAGCCGTGGTTCCAGCCCCAGTTCTGGCCCCAGCAGCCGTGGTTCCAGCCCCAGTTCTGGCCCCAGCAGCCATGGTTCCAGCCCCAGTTCTGGCCCCAGCAGCCATGGTTCCAGCCCCAGTTCTGGCCCCAGCAGCCATGGTTCCGGCTCCAGAACCAGCCCACACAGCCATGGTTCCGGCTCCAGAACCGGCCCATACAACCATGGTTCCAGCCCCAGTTCTGGCCCCAGCAGCCATGGTTCCGGCCTCTGTTCCGGTCCAGCACGCCATTTCTCATCAGGGAAATGTTCTGGGCCAACATGAGCAGATGATGCGAGCCTTAGTTGAAAGCAATCAGTCCATGGCTCTACACATCTCAAACCTTGCTGCTCAGGTCTCAACTTGGACGTCTTCTGCTGCATTTCCTGCCTCCTCCAATCCACCTGTGGATTCCACTCCAGCCCCTCGTGTCCTGTCAGTGGTCCGGCCGACGCCAGCCCCTCGTCACCTGTTGGCTCTCCGGCCGACGCCAGCCCCCCGTATCCTGTTGGCTCTACGGCCGACGCCTACCCCATGTCCTGTCCCGTTGGAGGTCCCGCCGACTACACTTCTGCCGGGGGTCCTGCCAACCCTATGTCCTGTGCCGTTGGAGGTCCCGCCGACTACTCTTCTGCCGGGGGTCTTGCCAATCCTATGTCCTGTCCCATTGGGGGTCCCGCCGACTACTCTTCTGCCGGGGGTCTTGCCAATCCTATGTCCTGTTCCGTTGGGGGTCCCGCCGACTACTATCCTGCCGGGGGTCTTGCCAACTCCATGTCCTGTCCCATTGGGGGTCCCGCCGACTACTCTTCTGCCGGGGGTCCTGCCAACCCTATGTCCTGTGCCGTTGGAGGTCCCGCCGACTACTCTTCTGCCGGGGGTCTTGCCAATCCTATGTCCTGTGCCGTTGGAGGTCCCGCCGACTACTCTTCTGCCGGGGGTCTTGCCAATCCTATGTCCTGTTCCGTTGGGGGTCCCGCCGACTACTCTTCTGCCGGGGGTCCTGCCAACCCTATGTCCTGTGCCGTTGGAGGTCCCGCCGACAACTCTTCTGCCGGGGGTCTTGCCAATCCTATGTCCTGTTCCATTGGGGGTCCCGCCGACTACTCTTCTGCCGGGGGTCCTGCCAACCCTATGTCCTGTGCCGTTGGAGGTCCCGCCGACAACTCTTCTGCCGGGGGTCTTGCCAATCCTATGTCCTGTTCCATTGGGGGTCCCGCCGACTACTCTGCTGCCGGGGGTCTTGCCAACTCCATGTCCTGTCCCATTGGGGGTCCCGCCGACTACTCTGCTGCCGGGGGTCCTGCCAACCCTATGTCCTGTGCCGTTGGGGGTTCCGCTGAGGGTCCTGCCAATTCCATGTCCAGTATCGTTGGAGATCCTGCCGACACCTGTTCCGCTGTGGGTCCTGCCAACCCCATGTCCTGTCCTGTTGGGGGTCCCGCCGACACCTGCTCCGCCGGATTTCCTGCCAACACCAGATCCTGTCCTGTTGGGGGTTCCGCCGACACCTGCTCCGCCGGGTTTCCTGCCTACACCATATCCTGTCCTGTTGGGGGTCCCGCCAACACCTGTCCCGCCGGGGGTCCTGCCTACACCATATCCTGTCCTGTTGGGGGTCCCGCCGACACCTGTCCCGCTGGGGGTCCTGCCAACTCTGTGTCCTGTTCCGTTGGGGGTCCAGTCGACACCAGCCCTTGCTCCATCCGGGGTCCCATTGACACCAGCCCATGTCATGTTCAGGATCCCGTCTACGCCTGTCCCGTCGGCTCCGGTTCCTGTCCGGCCGATACTGGGTCTTACCCGGCCTCCGGAGTTGTCCCGTTGGCGCCTTCCTGCCCGGCCTCCGGAGCTGTCCCGTCGGCGTCTTCCTGCTCATCCTCCGGGGTTGTCCCGTCGCCGCCTTCTTCTTCGCCCTCGGGCTCGGCCCCCAGACTCTTCCAGCCGCTGCCTTCGCCCTCGAGCCTGGCCCCCTGAGTGCCGGGGCCTTCGCCCTTGAGCTCGGCCCCCTGATTTCCCCAGCCGTGGCCTTCGCCCTCGAGCCCGGCCTCCTGACTCTTTCAGCCGCTGCCTTTGCTCTCATGCCCGGCCCCCTGAGTTCGCCCGCTGTGGTCTTCGCCCTTTTTTGAACTCTGCCTGGCCCCCGGGCCATCCGCCCGAGACCCCCTCCTTGATCTCTGCCTTGCCCCTGGGCCGTCCGCCCGAGACCCCTTCCGGGTCCTCCGCTGTGCCCCTGGGCTGTCAGCCCAAACCCATCCTCCAGACCCCCTCCACCCACCCTGCTGGCATTTTTTGGACTTTTTGGGACGTCTGGGATCCGTCCCTTGAGGGGGGGGGGGGTAATGTCACGATCTGTCTGTGTTGTGTTTTGTCTTGTCTTTTTCTGTCTCTGGTTTCCTGTTTTGTTTTAAAATGTTTTCCTCCTTGTGTCTTGTCTGATCCTACTCCGTGTGTTTTCCTTCCCGTCGTTAGTTTCCCTGGTGTGTCTGATTGTGCCTCATTGTGTTCACCTGTTGCCCTTGTGTTTCTGCCTACCCTGTCCAGCTGTGTCTTGTCCTGTGATTACCCTTCTGTGTATTTAGTCTTGTCTTCCCCTGTGCTCCATGTCTGTTCGTCGTCATTTCATGTCCCTGCTACCAGTATTGATGCTTGTCCATGTCTCCTGCCTGTTCCCGTCTGTAAGTTTGTTCCTGTCTGTCGTGTTCCCCGGTTTTGTTTCTGTTTATTAGTTTCTTGTTTTTTTTATGCCTTCAGCTTTTGTTAATAACCTTTTTGTATTTTTGAACTGCACTTGGGTCCTATTACCCCAAACCTGACAAAGGTAACATGCATAATACTCCCTTATCGTCTCTAGGCCCTTATTTTGTATAAGGGAAAACTCCAAACCAACAACAAAACAGTAGAAGTAAGGCAATACAATAGTATGGGTAGCCAATATTGACACTATTCTTTTGGTTTGTATTTTTTATAATATATGATATATATTCTATAAATTGTTTATTGATAAAATAGTTAGGATCATCTGTTTTAACACATCCACTGAAATGAATAACACCGTAAGGTTTAAATCCACGATTATCACCCTGATTGATGGTCCGATTAAACCAGTCATAAAGGGAAATATCATAAAACAATACGGCAGGAAGATTAACATCGTCTCACGCTACATTTTACATATATTGTCATATAGCTCAACCCTGCAATGAGCATCCTAGAAATAAATGAGGAAGCAGACTAAGTGCAATAAATGAAAAGGGCTTCAGGGAAATTGTAAATGCTAGCTACACTTTGGTTAATAGTTGCAGCTCTAATAGAGTGAGTTATGTATCAGTAGATTTTTGGTACTAAATGGATATTGAAGTGTGTGACTGTGAGATACGCTTCTTCAAATATTCCCTTAGATGAATTACCTCAGGGTTGTGCAAAAAAAAAAGAATCTGTCCTAGTGATACTTGTTGAATAATTGAATAAGCAACTCTATATCTAACTCAATTCAAATCTCTGCTGAATTATTATGTTGGATGAGTAAAATGGCACAATGATGCACAATAAACACAACATTTAATTGATTTCAAATTAAGAAGAAACACTTTTTTATTAACCCAATCTCAACAGCAACAAAGTTGAAACATTGTTGTAGGTTTTCCTCAAAAGTCACATGATGACAAATCACAACATTTTCACACCATGACCATAAACAGAAATATACCCCAAGTTAACCACATTCATACAGATGGTTACATTGAAGGAAGCAAGCTATATTGTATAACTACAGTATGAATAGTAATATATAATGGTAATAGTAATGATATTGATTTCATATTGATAGATTAAAAACAAAGACATACACCCAAAACAATCTAATATCTAATCAGGTTACCACATTAATTCACACGATGGATATCTTAAACAAACACCACTAAATATTTAAAATCCCTAAATCACACCTAAAATTACATTTCAAATAGCCATAATATGGTATTAAACAGTGATTCTTAATTAAAGCTGATTTAAAATGATCACATTTTGCACTTAGATTAGTTTATAATATTAAACAGGGCTCTAAAAACTGCATATATGGCCCAATTGTGCATAATGCATCCTTATTCACTTTTAAGTCGTGAAGTCACATACTCACTTGATCAAATTTCTCGATCACCTTCAATCAGTATGAACCAAGGAGAGCCAGGAAGTGTTTTCTTTATTTTTTCAGGTTTAACTTCCATTTTCCAAAACTTCAGATTCATCCAAATTGTGTGAGGAGACAGTGTCTCTCCTCTGCATGTAAATAAAGAAAGACAAGTGTATCAGCATTACCAAGAGCAGAGCTGCAACTATCTTTACTGAAGCATGGTGCTAGTCTACAGTGGAGCTACATTATTAGTAGCTCCACCGAAAAATAGATCCAGCTTCTCACTTTACTTAAAGACGTAACCTTTGTCTTTACTACATATTACAGGCATATTCCCCCATTTTCTTACATGTACAGACCAAATTATAAAAGTAAACTAATTGAGGAAGTAATCGCTACGTAATCAATGATTAAAATAATCATTAAGCAGCAGGCATAGATGGTTTTAACTCCAGAGGCAAGATCAAAGTGCAATTGAACTGCAATTGTATCCTTGAAATCTGACGAGATGTAACGAAAGTAATTATTCCTCCTTACCTGCTCATGTCCATATACTAAAACTCATACTGTACATATTTTACACTGTACTACTATGATATAATATCACTGCCATTTAATAAAACCTCCTGCCTTGTTTAAAAAAAATGGTGGTGCAATATGCCTTTATTTGACAGTTGTAGTGGAGACAGATATGTTTGTAAAGAGAGTACGGGAATGACTTGCAGTAGGCGGGCCATCTCCTATTCCAGACTTTCAAACTAGAGTGTTTTTCTTACACCTCAAGTGGTCCAGCCAATTAGGAAACAAACTAAGATTTGCTGCTCAGGGCATTTGACTTCTATTTGACAACTAACTACTCGGCTATAGGCAGTCCGTTATGTCTTAGATATACATATTACCTGGAAGTTGTTCATTCCTTACTCTGATCCACTCTTCCAATCGCACCTTGGCAGCTTCCAGACTTTCAGGATCAATCTTCCTGCTGTAAACCCTGAAGAGCGTCTCAGAGAAGTGCACTGGGAGAAGCCTCGACACCTGACAAGAATGATAGCAGCATAAATATAATAAAAACTACATAACAGAGGTTTCTCTACAAAGAAATACACTAAAGCTCACACAAAAAAATATCAAGATTGAGATTTTTGTCGTCATTGTTCTGACCTCTTCTTTGGTGATTTTGAATGCTTGGGTAGGGGTTTTCTTGCTGTAGAAGTCCATACTATCGATGGGGTCCTTTCCCTTCATCCCATAGTCCATAGTAACAGGCTAGAAGAGAAGGTTGAGACAGAAGCCTGTTCTTTATTCAAAAGTAAATCAATGGAGATGGCAGTATCTAAAAAACACACCATTTTAAGATTAGCGAAGCAAAAGTAAGTACACGAAAAACTCACTAAAACTACAAAGTCCTTCTCTGGCAGCCCGTCAGCCTGAACTCCCTCTTGTGGAAACAGGTCCTTTTTCAACTGAGATATCCCCTTAAGTAGGAAGGACAAAGGTTGAGAAGTGAGAGATGAAATACATTTGCAGTTCTTTCCATCATGAAAACACACAGCAAGAGGAGGTCCAAATTAAGCAGGTACATTAAAATCAAACATCTTTGTTTCTCGGTTTCGGCTGTCTGTCCAAACTCAAACTACAGATTTGCTCTCACCCGACAACAGGCCTTTTCAAAAGTTGTATTATAATGTATTCTTGATGCAAACCCTTTACAGTGCAACGGTCTGGGTTGCAGTTTATTAAAAGTTTATGTTGCTCCTAAAGTTATGTCTCATTTAAATGTCAGTTTAGCAGGTCATATCAAACAGAGATTGTTTTTAATCAGTATTAAAGAATGTTTTGTCACACCCCACATGATAATAGGTTAATCATGTTATCATTGATTATGTCATACTGTTGACATAATTATTAGTCAGGCACCTGACTCACACCTCACCAGATGTTGGCTTTGAGGCGCATATTTGCTACTTTTGGAATAATCATGGATAAATTCAAAGGGGAGTGCACCGCTTTTACTAATGCTAAACCTTTGCAAATAAGGCAAAAATATGGAGTGTAATTCTCAATCACTGCAAAAAGCGTTACTGAACTTCTGATAATTGCATGAAATTAAATAAATTAATATGCATACATTTGAAGTAAAATAATTTGTGGTAACAGAAGGCGTGTCTGCTCAAACTGAGATAGGATGTAATGAGAGATGTGTCATGAAACATAAATGAATCAAGCTTTCCTGAGTTTAATGTTTAAAATACATTAAGAAAATAACTGTTATTTAAAAAAAATTAAGTTTACGCTTTTGCCCCCTCCTGCCTTAATCTCTTTTGATGAACAGATTACTCATCTTTTTTCCTGCTGTGCGATCCCTGGAGATAAATGATTACAAATATGTGATGTAATACAGGAACAAAGACATTACTGCACACCTTGGGTTGGATTTTAGGCTTGATTCCACCCAGACACCTGTAGTGTTTACAATCGCCGATGTTTGTTAGAATCTCCCTTGCCTCTCTGAGATTATCCTCTGTGCCTGTGGAGTTGAGTATTTGGTCAAATACACAATCTAAAGGACAAACGGGACAGAAGAGCAAGTTAGAAGAAAGAAGGTAAAAACTAAGTCACTGACACTGTAAACTGAGAAGCATAACTCACAACATCTAAGCAGTATACCTTTGTGATAACATTTGTTCTACTTTAATTTGTTGTTAAAATTATGAAAAACACTCCATGACCAAATTTCAGCAAATTGCATTTGCTAAACCAAATTGTCTGTTAATATCATCTGTAACCAGAACGGCAAGTTTTTGTTTTTCCGTGAGCTGAAGAGCATTACTTTGAATCTAAATTGCCAATGGTTGTTTCTTTATTTAACCTTTACAAAACCAAAAACACAAGTGTAAAGGTGAAGGAAAATAAATGGTGAGTTAACCCTATCTGCTCTAATGTGCCTGTTGTCATTAGCATGTCCTTGTGGCATGCCCTGGCCAAACTCGTTACCCCAGTGACAGTAAGTACTAAACACACTGGTGAGTTTATTTTGTTGTGTTGTTAAATATACTAACAAGATAAAAGGAATACCCAGCACCAAAATGATCATTTCTGCATAAACAGTACTCGAAGAGTAGCACTGGGGAACTACAGAAGAGTAGTTCCCCAGTGCAACTGATTATGCAGAAGTGTTTTAAATAGTAAGTTTCCCCCCCAAAGAAGTGTTGGATTATGAATAATGCTTTGCTTTAATGTTAAAACACAAGCTCACAGCACACAGTGGTTTCTGCTGACCTGTCAGCTTGGTGTAGGCCTCCATGTCACCTATGGCTGCAGAGAGGTTGAACTTCCTCCCTCCTGAGCCTTCATTCTGGCTGTGCTCCAGCTGTGTGGAGGGGGTGGACATGGTCTCTTCTGAGTCTTCAATCTGGATGTGCTCATCTGCCTTTAAAAAGGCCTCTGTGATCCTGGACGAAAGAAATATTTTATCACTTTATGCATACCATACAAAATATTTGATTATGAAACAAATTCAATTATTAAAATCAGAGTACCAACGTGAGAAGGGAAGATACTCACATATACTCTATGATCTTAACCACGTTGTGCTGGTAGGCTCTTCTGTGGAGTGAGTACCTTGTGTAGAACAAGTCATAGAGATTGTTCACCTCCTGTTAACAGAATTATCTAAACGTTACCACTAATAATTTACATTGATTGCTGTTAAAAAAGCTGATCAAAAAGCAGATGTAACAAAGTCAGCACCTTGTCTCTAGTGCAGATGTGCTTCTGCCTGACCACCTTCTGCCCGTCCACCTCCAGCCCGTCCACCTTCTGCTCGTCCCCCTTCTGCTCGTCCACCTTCTGCCCGTCCACCTCCAGCCCGTCCCCCTTCTGCTCGTCCCCCTTCTGCTCGTCCCCCTTCTGCTCGTCCACCTTCTGCCCGTCCACCTCCTGCCCGTCCACCTTCTGCTCGTCCCCCTTCTGCTCGTCCCCCTTCTGCTCGTCCCCCTTCTGCTCGTCCACCTTCTGCCCGTCCACCTCCTGCCCGTCCACCTCCTGCCCGTCCACCTTCTGCTTGTCCCCCTTCTGCTCGTCCACCTTCTGCCCGTCCACCTTCAGCTCGTCCACCTTCTGCTCGTCCCCCTTCTGCTCGTCCACCTTCTGCTTGTCCCCCTTCTGCTCGTCCACCTTCAGCTCGTCCACCTTCTGCCCGTCCCCCTTCTGCTCGTCCACCTCACACACCCTGGCAAACTTTATGAAGCGGCCATGGTCAAAGTTGTTCTTGATGCCCAGGTGGTAGCTGTCCCTGATGAGACAAAGGCAAGACAAGTAAAGAAAATGTGCTTATTACAAAAACTAATCTAAGACACCAGGAGAATGCTACGTGTTCTTTAAATAACCAGGACTATGTTCTTAATGTGAATTATTTCTTTGTATAATACACATTTGTTTTATTGCATTAAAAAGTGAACTGCTCTAGCTGTTGAACCAAGCCTCACCTGGCAAAGTAGTCAAACTTGTCCACATCAATGCCGTTTCTTTTGTTGTTCACAATCTCATAGAGGAAGGACTTCTCCTCTGGACGGCCTTCATATGGCCATGGAGATGACTGCACAGAGTGGCTGGCATTAGGCATTGGCTATTGTAGCAATAACGATGATAAAACTGATATCATTAAATTCAAATTGCATGACTAACTTTCTTATTTGGTTTAATCATCTCTTTGATGAAGACCTCATCATTGGGCAGCATAACACATGCCTTCATCATCCACTGCAGATCCGCATTGGATTCCACCATGTGGTCGAACATTTCTACAGAGGCGTCCTCATGCTGCAAGGTACACAAATTCATTGATATATTAGTATGAGAATTCAAAGTGATAAAAATGAACAATGACTCACTGTTTAAATAGAAAGGGCCTGGCTTTGCTGAAAACATGACAGTATATGTTTACCAGATGACAGGTCTGTTGCCAAAACGTACATAACGACAGGGAGCTCTGTAAAGCAACAGCCTGTTTGCACCGCTCCCCCTATACCAGATGTTTCACCACTCCCACTCTTCTCATACATGTTTAAGTTATTGCTGTAACTGTAAACTGAATAAGTCAGAATAACATCAATTAATATCCAATAAATGTGAGGCGTGTCATTATTCTTAAGCCAATACATTGTGCAATCAATAAGAATGTATATTTCATGTTGATAAGTTAAATTGATAATGTTTTCTATTTTCACTTTTATTAAACTGAAACACCTGAATTAAGAGTACATATATATATATATATATATGAAAACCTTTCAAGAAGTTCTTGGAAGAAAGCAGACAAAGGTAGTTATAATATCCTTTGAGAGAGTACCCTGCATGTGTCTCATAATACCATGAATGCCACAACTAATTGCGCTTAAAGGAATAGTGCATAATTTTGGAAAGGATTATGCTTTATTGCTTTTGACTGAAAAAAGCAACAAAATACAACTAATTAATTAAAGGCAATGCTCCACTGAATGTAAAATAGTGCATGTGTAATAAGATACGATAATTATTTATTGTCAGATCAAATCTGACATTTTTCCTGCATCATAGCAGCTCCATTTGCAACATCAAACAGGGACAAATATTAAGACACGATACAAGGAAACAAACATTTAACATAACAATCACTGAAGAGAAAACATGCTTAAGACCCTCAAGCGCACATTTGACCTGGGATTGAGCTCTGTATTTAATTTGAGGATGGACTGGTGCACAAAGGAGTGCTTCAGTCTAACTTCATTAAAACGTGGGACCCTGTACCTCCGACTTGATGGTAACAATTCATATTCACTGTTCAGAACATGTTGGGGATCAGAGATGTTGATGGCTAGCCTCACTACGGTATTATGGGTTGATTCATAGAATTCCTCACAGGGGTGACCTACAATCTTTGAGAAGATTTTCAACTGGTGGAGCAGTTTTGACTTTAAGGCGGAAGACAAACACTTGTACCATGTAGTATTGCAATACTGTAGAACAGTCAAAATCACATATCGAATAAACATGATCAGATCATGACATGCAGCTGCTGGCTGTGTTTTATAAATGTGTTTTATTTCTGTTGTTGGGTATAATGTCACACAATACAGACAATAGGAATAATAATTGCTCACCTTCCAGGTTTTCATTTTTTCACGTCGTGGACCAGATGGGGGTGTTGCTTTGGGGATGAACATTTTATCAAACAGATGGGAAAAGGGTCCATGTCCTATATACGGAGAAAAATAAATATTTTAAGCAAATGGTGATTGACTATAAAACAAACTGAAGTGAGCCATTTTAACATTTTGTATATATTTTGCATTTTTTTTTCTTGTTCTCTGTTCAAAGTGTATGTGAAAAAAACTTAAATAACTAAACAGGTAATACAGGGTAAGAAATTGTTGTATACAAATCGTCATTTTGTTGATGAATTATTCTTTTAAACCCTATCACATATTAAAGTGGAAGGTGTGTATCACTCACCCAGGTCATGGCATAGCCCAGCGATCTGAACACAAAGGATGTCTCTCTTATTGATGTTGAGTTCTGGCTGCTTTTTCTTCAGAGCTTTCACAAGCTCTCCTGCTAAGTACCCCACCCTTCACCAAAGCATAGAGCACACAACAATAAAAAGTCATCACACAATTACCACTTGAGTGTCCTGCTGCAGAACAGGATATGCAATTTGTTTTAAACAGTTTATTGCTGCCATATGTAAATACAGTCCATTTACAGCAAACAAGTCTTCACTTAATATTAATTTTGATAACATTAACACACATTGGACATACCCAATTGAGTGTTCAAACCGGTTGTGGGAGGCTCCAGGATAAACAAAATAGCCCGCTCCCAGCTGCTTGATGTATCTTAATCTCTGGAACTGAGGCGTGTCGATGATTTTAACAAGAAGAGGGTGCAACTCCATACTTCCGTGGATTGGATCATTAAACACCTAACAGAATACGTACAACAAAAAAACCTGTCAAATGATGACCCTAAAGAGTACAACTAAAACAAGCTCCATTTCTTCTGAAGGCCCTGAACATGTAGTGTGAAGCAATAAATAAAACAAAATATTATATCACCTTGGGAGCTGATGGCCAGATCTTCAAGATACTATCCAAGATTTTCTGACGAACCTCAGGTTGACTAAAGAAATCGTGAAAAAAGAGCATAGTTATAAGTTAAAAGTCAAGCCAGGGGGAAGTTGTTGCACTAAATTAGTGCCACACTTCCTTCTTTTCAGGATGTTATAATTGTTTTTAAATTGCAACCTGGTTTGACAAGGGATGATACTCACTATATGCCCTTCTTAGTCAGATAATCATCATCGAGCTCCGACAGCTTGATAACAGACTTTCCTGGGTAAAAGAAGATGCAGTGAATTACAGTCCTGTATCACATTTTAGTTTTTTATGACAAGTTTATAAACTAAGTTGAATTTAAAAAAACAAAAGCATTTTTTTTCATCAGCTTATTCAATTAGGCCAACGATGATATAAAACCTAACCATCAATTTAAATGACCAAACCAGAAACTTACCTTTAAATGTATCTGCCCCTTCAAGTCCTTTTTCTTTCAGGTACTCACACATATCCTCCCCGCTCATTTCCCCATAGTTTTCTGACGCCATTGACAATGTTTTCTGTGTCTAACTAACGATAGAAGACACAAATGATGTCGCTCCCTAATACAGCTGATCATGAAACGTCTGCACAAATATACTCAGGCTTTGAGAAGTACCTGGCTTTTATGTCTCTACCACACCCATCCGATTGGTCACTGGCAGTGACCAATTTGCTGCCCTAGGCGAGATTTTAGCTATTTTTGTTGTTCATTCATATCTTATTTTACCTAGTTAACATTTATTTATGCATATTTTTATATCTCTCAAGTGTTAAACGATATTTTTGGTTTACTGTCCTATAGTATACATTGAAATTATTTCAAACCTGTTTATCCCAATAATTATAAAGGAGTGCCTTGGAAATATTTGTTTACATAAATTGCATTTATCTCTCTTGCTCGCTCCCACGCCCACTTTGGCTGTGAGCTGCGGACGCCTGATAAGCCAACACCCCCCACTTTCATCACTTACAGCGCCCATCGTACAGGGCAAATGAAAAGTGTAACCAGGGTGTTACATTTACTTAATTATGAATGTTGTTACATCAATGCCGAAAATTAGGATGAGCCCAAACAGTCAACAATGTTTTTTTCCCTCCCAGAGCTGCCAGCGCAGCGCCCCCCCCAGATCTGGCACCCTAGGCGACCGCCTATGTCGCCTATGCCAAAAACCAGCCCTGACTTAACCTAACAACTTATTTAATTTGTTATCACAATTACTAATGTCATGTTTTTTTTTATTGTTGAAGAGAATGTCTTTTTTTTCTGGCATTCTTCCAGGATTAACAAAAATAAGAATAACATTGAGAAAAATCTTTGAAGTAAATGGCTGTTGTTAAACGCTTCCCACATTTACTTCAATCGTACAGTAGAAAAGATAAAAGTATCCAAGGAATACACAATAGAATATATAAAGAATAAATGAAAAATCTCTACCAAAGACCAATACACTACAAAAACAGAAACGTATTGACATAGGTAATACACATCAAAAAGGCTTCAAATGTATTCAGTATTGTATGAACATGTTTTAATTGGGGTGTGGACGTCACATCCTCTAGGGGGGTCCGGGGGTATGCCCCCCCCCCCCCGGGAAGAAATGTTTGAAAATGTAAAGTAAAATGCTTCAATCTGGTGCACTTTAAGCACATATTACTAGAGACTAGATCTAGGGGGTACAACTCTAAACACCCATATGAAAAAGACCGGTTTACATTTTAATAACCAAATATGTGAACATAACCAATAACATACCATAGCCAATAACAAATAAATGTAACTTATTTAATTTTTGTTGTTCATTCATATCTTATTTTACCTAGTTAACATTTATTTATGCATATTTTTGTATCTCTCAAGTTTTAAACGATATTTTTGGTTTACTGTCCTATAGTATACATTGAAATGATTTCAAAGCTGTTTATCCCAATAATTATAAAGGAGTGCCTTGGAAATATTTGTTTACATAAATTGCATTTATCTCTCTTGCTCGCTCCCACACCCACTTTGGCTGTGAGCTGCGGACGCCTGATAAGCCAACACCCCCCACTTTCATCACTTACAGCGCCCATCGTACAGGGCAAATGAAAAGTGTAACCAGGGTGAAAAGGGTGTTACCTTTACTTAATTATGAATGTTGTTACATCAAGGCTGAAAATTAGGATGAGCGCAAACAGTCAAAAATAACACAGAATTTGGTGATGATTAAATAGTTTACAGTGAGATTTACTCCCATACTTTTGGCCATACTCAAGCAGCCCTACAAATGAATTGAGATTTAGCAAGTGTGCAGAGCAGTGTTGATTTAAAAAATCAATTTGAAGGTTGGATATTTGTAAACCTTTTTTTGTGTATATATATTAATAATTTAAGATGTAAATGAATTCCAGTTTATTTGTAGTACTTTCTATTTTTATTGTGACATTTGGTGGCATCAATGTGTGCATTTGATACAGATAATGGAGCAGTTGCTTTAGGGCCACAGTGTAGGCCTATATCCCTTAAGGTCAAATAATGAGATCCTCGACCTCCGCCCTCCTCTCGCACCTCCACACAGAGCCCCCCCACATACTGTAGGCTTTTTAGAGGACTGTTTGTGAGAGCCTGTATCTCTAATGGATCAAAAATACATAGAAGGTTTATGAATAATGCTTTGCTTTATTGTTAAAAGACAAGCTCACAGCACAACCTGATGAAGGGCCACAAACAAGATTTAATGTGGCCCATGCCAAAACCAGGGTCAAGATTGAAATGACCTTTGGTCTACTGAAGGCCCGATTCACCTGCCTGCGAGGGCTCAGAGTGGCCCCCTGAAAGAGCTTGCCCTATCATAACCGCATGTGTTGTGCCTCATAACATCGCCACAATGAGGAAGGAGAAGGCCCCTCCTGCAAACCCCCAACCTCCTGATGTGGTAGACCCCATCACCCAGACTACCCTACTGGCGGGCCTTTCAGGGAGGCAATCTCTGTTTTATTTTCTTCAAAAACACCACATACACAGAGAGAGAGGCCTTGTATGATTTTTGTTAGAGTCTTTATTTATTTTTTATTTATTCACCCATTCCTTAAGGAAAAAGAGATAAAAACATGATTTTAGTTTACTTTTTCTGTAAAGAAAAAGGGATTTCTCTTTTAGGTATCCTAAAATATTTAATTGTATTTGAATTACTGAATGTTACTAAATTAAGTCTAAGTCTTTCTTTCTCCAATTTTTCAACCTCCAGTTTGGCTTTTTTAATTAAAATATTTTTGTGTTCGATTTCAAGCCCCTTTATTTCGATGTCTAGCTCGAGTGTCCTTTTGTACAGGGAAACCTTTAGGCGAAAACTAGCAACAACAACAACAACAACACTGCTTCCAACAACACAACATGTAAGTGTGAATGACATTAGAAATGATTAGGAACAACATTAAATACCATTTTTTATTGTGGGTCCCTTATAACATGTTGAACACAGTGGAAATAAACATAACTTAACATCAGGGATCTTATTAATTAAACTCCTTCTGAATTAAACCGTCAAAGTAGATGACTTTTTAACATTATACTCAAAGGGCCAGTAAATATCACCCCGAGGCCGGATTTGGCCCGCGGGCCGCCAATTGAATAGCCCTGCAGCCTAGCCTTACTGTTCCTTCTAAAAATAAAAATAAAACAAGTTACTTCCCAGCAGAGTTAAATTGATTAGTAAATTATTAATAAGACTAATAAAGAGCAGTTTGATCTGCAATTTGAAAAGGAACAACAATGCATTTACTGATTATTTTTTTAACGGACAAAAGCATCACAAATGATAAACAACAGCCTTCAATCTCACAGGTTTTTGGCAACCATGCAGGACAGTACAGCATGAATCATCCACAGCAGAAAGCTATCACCGATGCAATACTGTCCGACTTAGTTAGTGTGAATGCTGTGCAACAATGATAACCTCATTTTGTTTTTCTACACCTTGCATTCCCAAAAACCACACACCCCTTCAAAATAAAAGACCTATAGATTTAATGCTTGAACTTATACTACTACGTACATCTGATATTTAACTAACTCCTTCAGCCTACTTTCAGCTACAGAAACCATTCAACTATTAAATTATTCAGCTATTTCAGGACATTGAGGCTTTACAATTTGTTGTTTATACCTTTTGTAAACCTTTTCATAAATATTAAGCTTCTTCATAATTGTTCCTACTCTTCCAGTTTAACATTTCACTTTCAAGTTTTCAACAAAGTCATTGCAATGCATTTGAGCTGTAACAAATTCGTTCAAATCATTTCACTTTTCTGCATTTCTCCGCTAAGTTCAGCAACACATTTACTTGGTTTGTGTAGCTACAAGCAGCTACAGAGACCATTCAACTCATAAAATATTCAGCTTTTTCAGCTAAATTCAGCAACAAATGTACACAGTTTACAGCATTTGCACACATTTTCAGCAGGAAATGCATTTTCTAGTTTTCTATAGTGAGTTGGTGATTTGATAAACTAAGAGTGAGGTACAGTTTTGCATGGCAAATTTTCCATCCAAATGAAGCAACATTTCTAAATCATTTTCAGACAAATTTGACTACACATGTTAGTGTTGTTAGCTTAGATGATCTTATTGTCTTTCATTTTTGTAAAGCACTTTGAATTGCCTTGTGTTGAAAGGTGCCATATAAATAAACTTGCCTTGCCTTGCTCGCTCATAAACAATGAAAAAATGAAATGTATTTGCTCCTTTTATGTTATTGTGTGTACTTACTAATACAAAATTACAGATACAACCTAAAGCAACAGTCAGGTAGTTCCCACACAGCTTTTATAATGCACTGCTGACTGCTGGAATGCAGTGGTTTTACTTTAATGTATTTGTTTCCTCCATTGTGTTTACCTGCCCAGGTGGGGCCGACCAGTCAGACGAGAGCTAGATAATAGCTGTACTTTTTTTTAATGAGCCACATGCCATGATGCACCAACATACTTTTATTATTGATACTGACATTAAGAAGTTTAATCAACTCATTACAGTGTGAGAGAGAGAGAGAGAGAGAGAGAGAGAGAGAGAGAGAGAGAGAGAGAGAGAGAGAGAGAGAGAGAGAGAGAGAGAGAGAGAGAGAGAGAGAGAGAGAGAGAGAGAGATAGTTCAGACAAAGTTACATGAGTGATAGTGAAAGTTTTTAACTTTCATTTAACAATAAATAGAGTGGAACTTTACATGCAAGTTTTCAAAGTAACTTCCTGAAATGTAATTGTCTGCGATTGTTCTATGGAGTCCCCAAAGGCCCAAAGGTGTGAACATAATAGAAAAAACAATTAGCTTACAAAATGTGACACGGCATTATTGATTAAGTTACACATTATTATATAAAATAGTTACATCTTGGCTTATCTCAACCAGCAACACCATTAAAATACTGCTTCACATAAATGCATCAGAAATAATCACCAAAATGTTGTAAATAATAATATACAAATCTGTAGCCATTTGTCTACAAATATGTGGCAGTTTGGTACTTTGAGTTCATATTGCGAATACTAAATTAGTGCTTTCACTTTGCTGTTTAGTAACTTTAACTTAGGTAAAACATCTGAATACTTCTTCCAGCTCTGTATCACAGTAGATTCAAGGTGCTCCCAAGTGACACATTTCCATTAGAGGAGAAATTGAATATCAAACTCAATAGTTTTGATTCAATGCATAC